CCATGACCTCGATCATGGTCAATCCGGATCGAGCTAAAGAACTTATCCGGCTCATCAGATAAAGAATGTCCCTGTCATCTTCCTCCAGGGAGCTCCGTGGACGCCAGCTCCGGCGCTTCTTCAAAGGGGCGTTGTCGAACTCAGGAAGGCCGATCCGAATAGGGTCCGAAAGGGGGAAATATTCTATATAAAACCATTCTGAAGGCCAGTCTTCGGACCTCTTCTTCGGGGTCCCGAACAGGTATCCGGTCCCGGCAATACGCCACACTTCGGCTCCGCCCACTTGATATATTGACCCCTTCTTAGAACGGGGCACAAGGCAGAACAGCTTCTTCCATAGAGCGAAATGAGCCTCACAGCCCAAAAATAACTCGCAAAGGGCTACGAATCCCGTGATATGCAGCAGGGAGGCAGGCGTAAGGTTATGCAGTTGGAGGCCATAGAACTCCAGAAGCCCCCAGAGAAACGGATGAATTGGGAATCCGAGCCCTCTTACCAGATAAGGGACAAGGCATACCCGCTCTCCATTGGAGGGATTGGGACAACTCTTCGCTTGCTCTCCGCCATTGTAGGTGGCAAGCCCGGCTCGAACCGGGACCAGGTACGCTGGGGGAAGAAATCCCTTGGACTGAAGCATCACCAATTTGCTGTGCGGGATGGAACATCTCTCCCAATCTCCAGGCTTGGATCTAGGGGTGCGAGAGGAGGAGCTGCGTCGACCGGCCATGGTGGAATGGATCTCTGTCGGGTGCGCTCCGATGAAGACTCGGCAAGGGAGGATGATGTGATCTGGATTTGAATCCTCGTCTTTTTAAATAGGCGGCTCATTTACATAGCTAGGGGGGTAAATGTGAAAACACCCTGGCTCTTCACATTCGCTCGACACGTGGAAAGTGGCCATTATTGGGCGTAGAAGCCAAGGAGTACAAACCGTCACAAGGAACCGGACATTATTTCGACAAGTACACAGAATTTGGAGAGGAACCCGCCTTGCAATGCCGAAGATAATACTGCGAGCCGGACTCGTCGTCATCGAAGCCTGGTTCGGGGGCTACTGAGGGAGTCCTGGATTAAGGGGTCTCCGGATAGCCGGACTATCTCCATTGGCCGGACTGTTAGACTATGAAGATACAAGATTGAAGACTTCGTCTCGTGTCCGGATGGGACTCTACTTGGCGTGGAAGGCAAGCTAGGCAATACGTATATGGATATCTCCTCCTTTGTAACCGACCTTGTGTAACCCTAACCCTCTCTGGTGTCTATATAAACCGAAGGGTTTTAGTCCGTAGGACAACAATCACAACATACAATCATACCATAGGCTAGCTTCTAGCGTTTAGCCTCTCTGATCTTGTGGTAGATCTACTCTTGTAACACTCATATCATCAATATTAATCAAGCAGGACGTAGGGTTCTACCTCCATCAAGAGGGCCCGAACCTGGGTAAAACTTGGTGTCCCTTGCCTCCTATTACCATCCGGCCTAGACGCACAGTTCGGGACCCCCTACCCGAGATCCGCCGGTTTTGACACCGACACTCACCGTTCGCGGTGGGGCTCATCTTCGACTCAGAAAGCCATCTCTAGCGATGGTGTGCCCTCGGTTTAGGGCTTGGTGGTTTTCTGGCGTCTTCCGTTGTTGTTTGGCTCGACGACGATAGCGGCTGGTGTTGGCTCTTGCCGCGTTAAGGCCCCCCGGGGATCGGATTGTACTTTCTCTTTCTTTGGGGGTCCTTTTGCATTTCTATAGGGACACCTGCGGTCTCTCGGCGATGTTGCGTATGTGCTATGTTTGTAACCTATGCTGATTAAGAAATATGCAGTTATCCTAAAAAAAACCCGGCTATATGAAGTTGTCATGTCACATATAGTCAATCTAATAGCCAACACGTATAGTAGCGAGTTGCTAAGTAGTACTACTTTGTCAATACATGGTCCACTCTCACAATGTTTCTTGGAACCCGTGCTGCAGCTGGTTGTTAATCTATAGCCCACTTCCCTTCTCTATTCTCTTCTCTCTCATCCAACTCAACACATATATAATTGTTTAAACCTTAGAGCCTGTTGATTGTATCTTATTATACTTGCTCTAATGGTCCCTAGATCCGATGGCGATCTTTGCTATGACATCCATGACCCATGGCGTCTTGTTTTTTCCTTGGAAACTAAGATGCCATTATTATTGGACGCTGATAAGTACCACACGTTCGGTCTGGGCACCTCTCAGACCAAATGATTGTTCGATACGAGGGGGTCGATCCGCCGAACGAATTTGTTTGGTAGGGGGAACGCACAACCCGAATGCCTCCCTCATGCCAGGTCTTTTCCGTGTAAAAAAACAAAAAAAAGAACAAAAAGCCCGCTAATAATGAATTAAATGAAAAAGCCCAGGTTTTGATTTTTTTTCCTGTATCAGAAAAGCCCAGATTTTGTTTTTTTGTGACAAATAAAAGCCTAGTTTTTGCTCAGCTATGAAAAAGCAGAAAAAAATGAAAATTCCAAAATAAAATTGCCATTCGAGTTTGACCAAACTATTTATAATTTGCTATGATTGTTTTTTACAATGGCAAGGTTTATAAAAACATATTTGATTCCCTAATGAAAGCATGGCAAATGTGCCATGACAAAAAAAATCAAAATTTCCATGGCAAAATATATGTTCGGAAAATGACATGGCGAGTTTCCATGTGTGTCTAGCACCAAACATTGCCATGGAAATTTTGAAAAACACAATGCATGTGAGTCCAGGATCAATTTTGCCATGGAGAACTTCAGAAACACCATGCATGTGTGTCCATGAAAGTTGCACAAACAAAAATGATTGATCAAGTTAGCACAAAACCTATCCAAATCATGGCAACAATGCCATGTGAGAAAAAAAACTAAAGTGGATCACAAATTTGCATGTCAAAAAATCATCAGTAGTTAATGTTGTGTTGTTACAAACGTTTCCAGAATTGCCATGACAACAATATTATGTTCAGAAAATATCATGGCAAAAGAAACAGAATGAATAAAAAATAAACATTACATGAACTATATTTGCCCATCTATGTGAAGAAAAATTTGCGATGACAATTAAAGGTAAAATTGCCATCGCATTTTAATTAAATTGCCATGGAAGTTTAATTCAAATTGTCATGTTTTTAATGAGGAATTTGCCGTATGTGAGAAAAACAAAAAAAGTTGAAAATGGAGTATGAAAACAAGAAAATTGCCGTGGCAGGTTCGTATCAAAAATTGCCATGGCAGATTCATATCAAGAATTGCCATGTTTTGTATGAGGAATTTGCGTGTGTGAGAAAAACACAAAGAGTTGAAAATCAAGTATGAACAAGAAATTGCAATGGCAGATTCGTATCAAAACTTGCCATGGTAGATTCATATCAACACCTGCCACGGCAAAATTCATGTAAACTAAATGTTCCTTGATTTGTAAACAAAAGTTTCCATGATCAATAAACTAAATTTGCCATGGTTAAGTAAGAAAAAAACATAAAGATTGCCATCGGAGTGTTGCAAAAAATACCTAAATTTTCCATGTTTAGAATACAAAAAATGTTGCGGATTTACCATGTTAATTTAGAAAATATTTCTAAGTTTTCCATGGGTAGAAAAAAATTGACATGTGAACATTACAGGAAAAAATATAATTAAAATTGCCATTTGACAAGTTTAAATATTGTCATGTGAACATTCCCCATGTATTTTCCCATGGTCTAATTACTAAATTTTCCATGGTATAATTAAATTATTTGCCATGTTTGAGAAATTGCCATAGTGCTAAATTTGTCTAGCCACCTCTAAAATAGTTTAGATGAGAGAACATTTATACAATTTGCCATGGATGATTTAAAAGCAAAGTGCTGTGAGTTTGCCATGGGCAAATATAAGGATCAATACGATTAAGTTCCCTAAAAAAGAATCAACATGATGAAGTCACTAGTGATGTAAGCAAGCAGAAAAGTCAAACATTTTGTGTATCCTCCATGTGTTCTCCATCGGAACCAAGGGGGGAAGGAACTAAAATAAAGATTTGCACAGATAAATGATATACACCATTTATGGTCTTGGCATAGATAACTTTATGTTGGGCATGTGGCCCTGTGTATAGGATTTTGTTTTTTTATGTAATTCCAAATGGATCGATGCAAAAACAAGATAGCTAAGACTATTTTTGTACACATTTTGGTTACATATCTTTAATATGTTTATGATTTCAAGTGTGCCAAAAAATGCAGAAACGCCCAAAATCTACAGACTGCGGTACTTTTTATGAGCAAGTATTTCATCCAAAAGCTTACTAACATGTGTCGTTTTCCGGCCCCACAAAAAAGAGATGTTTACGTCCGTAGTTGGCGGATGGTTTGTCTACATGTATTATCCAAGCTTACTAAATGATGCATATAATGATCTACAATTCCATTGACGACGATCTCTGAAGAAAATGACAGTGAACACTTTTTAAGCCACAATTAGAGTGAACATTGCTATATATATGTTTTGCGGTCTAAAAAGGAGTTATCGCAATGGATGTTTTCTCCACATCAGTTATGTTTACTCGGCGAACATTGTCACGACAGAGAGTAGATTTTTCTCTCGTTGAGTCAAACAGACAGTGACAATTTGATTAGTAAAAAAATTTCAATATGATACATCTGAACCATTCAGATTGAGTGGATTTGTCAACGTTGTGGTATATTCTAACAAGATCCATTAGACAAGTGATGCAACTTGTGTTCAAACCCTTGCATGCCAAGGTACCAAAATCTTCTGTTCTGGAAGATGGACCGGAGTCACCAAGTCTGAAGCCACTTCTCCTGTTCCCCTTCCTCGGTGCTTCCATCAGAAAACGAGAGCCCAAGCGTCTACGTATGACTTTATAAATACTCCTCTACACGCCTCTCGTCTTAATCGCACCGAAGCTTGCGTCTGATCTGCATTTCTACTCGATCGATCTCCTCCTCCACGCCGGCCGCGGTCACGGCTAGCTCGCCAGCCATGGCTGTCCGGGAGGAGGCGCTGCACATCCTCTTCTTTCCGTTCCTGGCGTCCGGCCACCTCATCCCTATCGCTGACATGGCCGCGCTCTTCGCCGGCCGCGGCGTGAAGTGCACCATCCTCACCACGCCCGTCAACGCCGCCATCATCCGCTCCGCCGTCGACCGCGCCAACGACGCCTTCGCCGGCACCGGCTGCCCGGCCATCGACATCGCCGTCGTGCCGTTCCCCGACGTCGGGCTCCCGCCGGGCGTCGAGAACGGCACGGCGCTCTCGTCCCAGGACGACCGCGACAAGTTCTTCCACGCGGCGACTCTGCTCCGGGAGCCTTTCGACCGGTTCCTCGCCGACAACCGCACCGACGCCGTCGTGTCCGACAGCTTCTTCCATTGGTCCGTCGACGCCGCCGCGGAGCGCGGCGTCCCGCGCATCGCGTTCCTCGGCAGCAGCATGTTCGCGCGCTCCTGCAGCGACAGCATGCTGCGCCACAACCCGCTGGAGAACGCCCCCGACGAGCCCGACGCCCTCGTTCTGCTGCCGGGGCTGCCACACCGCGTCGAGCTGAGGCGGAGCCAGATGATGGACCCGGCCAAGAAGCCGTGGCAGTGGGGGTTCTTCAAGGGCGTGAACGCCGCCGACCAGAGGAGCTTCGGCGAGGTGTTCAACAGCTTCCACGAGCTGGAGCCGGATTACGTCGAGCACTTCCACAAGACGCTCGCCCGGCGCGTGTGGCTCGTCGGGCCGGTGGCGCTCGCCAGCAAGGACATGGCTGTGAGAGGCACTGACGCGCCCTCGCCGGACGCGGACAGCTGCATCCGGTGGCTTGACGCGAAGCCAGCCGGCTCGGTGGTGTACGTCTCCTTCGGCACGCTGACCACGTTCGCACCGGCGGAGCTGCACCAGCTCGCTCGCGCCCTCGACCTGTCAGGCGTGAACTTCGTGTGGGTGATCGGCGCCGCAGCAGGCAGAAACTCTGCTGAATGGATGCCGGAAGGCTTCGCCGAGCTGATCGCGAGCGGCGACCGCGGCTTCATGGTCCGTGGCTGGGCGCCGCAGATGCTGATCCTGAGCCACGCCGCCCTCGGCGGGTTCGTGACGCACTGCGGCTGGAACTCTGTTCTGGAGGCCGTGAGCGCCGGCGTGCCGATGGTGACGTGGCCGCGGTACGCGGACCAGTTCAACAACGAGAAGCTGGTTGTGGAGCTGCTCAAGGTGGGCGTCAGCATCGGCGCCAAGGACTACGCGTCGGGCGTCGAGACCCACGAGGTGATCGCCGGCGAGGTGATCGCCGAGTCCATCCAGAGGCTGATGGAGAGCGACGCCATCCGGAAGAAGGCGAATAACCTCGGCGTGAAGGCAAGGAGCGCGGTGGAGAAGGGAGGGTCCTCGTACGATGACGTTGGCCGGCTGATGGACGAGCTGACGGTCCGCCGGAGCTCCGTCAAGGTTGGAGAAGGCATCCAGGCCAGCTGATGGGCATTGGTACGACGGTGTGTTAATTCGGGCAGCTTTGCTGATTAATGGCCACTAGATCCGCTGGCGATCTTTGCTACGACAGCCATGACGCCATGGAATCTTGTTTGTACGTCGCTATTCTACGAGAAAAGTGAAAAATGAGCAAGAAAATTTTCTCTTTGCATCTCGCGGACAGAAAAGACTCGGTGGATGCCAAGCCACGCTCGTGCTCTGTCAGTATCATGGCTCCAAACCTGATACGTAGCATGGTCCGTGGCCGTATACAGGATTGGAGCAAGCCCCGGCCTCAAAAAAAGAAATCGCCGCAAGGAAAAACTAAACGTCTATAGGTCATTTAGCTATCACAAAAGATACCCCATACAAAATATGGCTCAATTGCATGAAAAATTTAGAATTAAAACCCTATGCCCAACAATACAATTAAAAAATTAAAAACATGTCAAAAACTACAAAGAACGGTATGTGATAAAAAAAGAGTACCAAATCAAAAGAAGAGCCAACGCCTCCTGTTTGCTTCACCAGTACCTCACATAATCTCGTCATCGGAGGAAGAAGAGCCAATACCTTCAAGACATCAAAAGAAAATTTTCATAAGAGAAGGCATAAACGACGTCAAGTGAAACAATTATCATTGATACAAGTATAAAAACTTACCACTTCGACGAGGTAAAAGCCCTTTGCGAGACCTACATGATAGAAATTGATATACAATATCATCATCATCAATACTTGCAAATACATCTCACTCAATATGAAATCTCTTCATCTTGTTTTTCTACAATATATGAAATGAAATTGACAATTACATCAAATTGAGTTCAACAATACCCTTGGTATATGACTGGATACATATACACACATTATTGCAAAGTTGGGACTAGTTTATACGCTGACATTGTAGAACACGATAGAAGTGGAAGCATCAGGGGAAATTGGGAAAGCATCAAAAATAATACCAAGGTGCGACAACAAGCAGCCAGGCGCGCCATGCGGAAGATTGGACAAACGACGCACAGGAGGGCGGTCCGGCAGTGGCCGGGACGGCGACGCCGGTGGCCTGCGCTAGTGCTGGAGTCTGGACTCTGGAGATTGATCTTGAGTGCGTCGGTAGGAGTTAGGTCCGCGGCGGCCGCGTGAGCGCTGGCTTCTCCTGACAGAATCGTGTCGTGCGTGCGTCCGTCAGTTTCAGGTGAGACGGCCCATCAGGCTGGCGTCTCCTGTCGTGTGCGAGTTAGACTTTTTTTAGGTTAGTTATTAGCTCGTGGGGGTGAGGTCTCCTTTTTTTTGAGGGGAACATGCTTTACTTATTGATCAATAGAGTGAATTACAGGAATAATAGAAGTACCATGAGGGTGTAACAGCCATACATGGCGACCCTCCCCTAAATGTAAAGCATGTCTAGCTAAGCCATGAGCCTCCTTGTTAGAAAGACGTCTCTCATGGGTGAAAGAGCAGGACTGAAACTCCCTGCTCGAGTCGATGATCTCCTGCACGATTGGAGCAATTGTACCCATATATAGTTCCCGTGTGTATGTCCTTGACCACCGAAATGCAATAAGCCACCTTAAAATGAGTCAGTGCGAGATCCCTGGCTAATGCAATAGCCTCGCGACATGCCAAAGCTTCCAATATATTCGGCTCGGTCATACCATGGAATACCACCGCTGCCGATCCAGCACATGCACCTGATTGATCCCGGCAGACCGCGCTAACAGCCCCGATGGGAGGGTGTTTACACGTAGCTGCATCAACATTTACCTTGTGGTGACCCGCCGGTGGTGGTATCCAATCTTGCACCCGCACTGGGGCTGTTCTGGGCTTCGTTATTTCATGTGACAAGGAAGCAATACTCAAATCTGCCAAGAAGCGTGTGATAAAAGCATGTGTCCCCATTGGGCTTTGGTGCTCTCCTTCGTGGATTAGCTTTCGCCGCGCCGACCATATGGCCCATAGTGTCACGGTTAGCTTTGTGAACTCGGCATGTGGCATCGATTCTTGCATACTGAAGAGCCAAGCCTTGGCATTCGGTTCCGCTGTTACAATAACATGCTCAACTAGCTCCGGGTCACCTAGCGCCCATACACAGCGCACCATCGTACACGTTATCAATGAATGCATCCAGGAGTCCTCCTCTCCACAGATAGCACACCGCGACGATGTGGACATATTACAATGACTGAGGACATCCACCGTGGGTATAGAGCATTGTGCAAGTCTCCATAGGAATACCTTCAGTTTGGACGGTACCGCCACCTTCCAGAGGTTAGTCCAACTTGCTTCTTCTCTCGATCTATCAGCCGGGCCTGATCGCCCTTCGAGCCACGCCTCCCTCCTTAGCTTCGTGTTGATGAGCATCCGATATGCCGAGCGGACAGAGAAGGAGCCCTTGTGCTCGTATGCCCATGCCCAGGAATCTCCGCATTGTCGAGTAGCTAGCGGGATATTGAGAATCACGTCCGCGTCTATTGGGAGAAAGGTTGCACGAACCACGTCCTGCTTCCACCTGGCGTTGGAGCTATCAATCAGTTAGGACACAAACTGTGGCCTATGTTGGCTCAGGCAAACAATTGGCCTGAGCGACGCCTCTTTCTGTACCCAGTTATGCTGCCATACCAAAGTATCTCTGCCATCGCCAATCCGTTTGATGAGTCCCTGCGAGAGGATCTCCTTGCCCTCTATAATTGCCCTCCATATTTGAGATGGCTGGCTACCCAGTGAAGCATCAACAAAATCTGTAGTTGAGAAGTAGCGCGCCTTCAAGATTTTTGCATTTAGTGTCTCTCGTGTTTGTAGGATTCTCCACGCCTGTGTTGCCAGCAGAGCAAGGTTAAACAGTTCAATATCCCTAAAACCCAGACCTCCTTCATATTTTGGCCTTGTCATCTTCTCCCAGGAGACCCAATTTGTCTTTCTTTCACCACGTTTACTCCCCCACCAAAACTTACGTATGATGGAATTAATGTGAAGACAGAGGCCCCGAGGTAGCTTGAAACAAGCCATAGAGTAGACCGGGATAGATTGAGCTACATACTTTATAAATACCTCTTTCCCTCTGGATGACAGCACCTTTTCCATCCATCACTTAGCTTTGCTCCAAACTCTGTCCTTCAAATATTTGAAGGCTCCGTTTTTGCTGCTCCCAACATCCGTAGGCATGCCCAAGTACTTTTCTGAAAGACTCTCATTGTGAACATTCAGGGTATTTTTCATGCTCTGTTTAATACTCTGCGAGCAACCCTTGCTAAAGAACACTGAAGATTTATCCAAATTAATTTTCTGTCCCGAAGCATTGCAATATATGTCCAACAAAGAAGATACCTAAATAGCCCCCTCAACACTAGCCTTGACAAACAGCAGGCTGTCATCTGCGAAAAGAAGATGGCTTACCAGCGGTGCCGTATCAGCCACTTTGATCCCATGCACTGGAGATGACTCTGTCTAGTTTTTTAAAAGGCACGAAAGGCCCTCTGCTGCCAGCAAGAAAAGGTAAGGTGATATCGGATCCCCCTGTCGGATTCCTTACGAAGGTGTGAATTTCTCAAGTTTCTTTCCAATGAACATAACCGAAAACTTGACCGAACATACCATCCTCATAACTGAGTTGACCCAAGCCGGCACAAAACCCAGTTTAGTCATGATAGCACGGAGGTAGTCCCATTCCAAATGGTCATAAGCCTTCATCATGTCGAGTTTAAGAGCATAAAACCCATTCCTCTTTGACCTGTTCCTCTTCATAAAATTTAAACATCCATAAGCGGAAATGATGTTATCTGTGATCAACCGTCCCGCCACAAAGGCCGATTGCTCCTCCGATATGATCATAGGAAGAATGGACTTCAGCCTGTTTGCCATAACTTTTGACGCAATCTTGTAGAGTACATTGCATAGACTTATGGGCCGGAATTGCGACAAAAGTGTGGGATTGGTTACCTTAGGGATGAGAACTAGGACAATATCATTCAACTCCTCAACTTCATCTTCACCCCTTAAGATTTTCAGAATGATAGTGGATACTTCATCTCCACAGAGCTCCCAATGTCTCTAAAAAAATGCGCCGGAAAACCATGCAATCCTGGTGCTTTTGTAGGAGCCATCTGAAACAGCACCGTTTTAATTTGCTCTCTGCTATACTCGCCCGTCAGCCGCTAATTCATTTCGTTTGTGACTTTACGTGGCACTACGTCAATCACTTGATGCATATTCGTTGTCCCCTCGGATGTGAACAAATTTTTGTAGAAAGCCGTAACCATACCCTCCATCTCCACTGCATCATCTGCTGTAGTTCCATCCTGTCTGAGTAAACTCTTTATCTTATTTTTAAGGCGCCGTCTGCGGGCCCGTAGGTGAAAGAATTTGGTGTTCTTATCACCCGCCGCCAGCCATGTTATCCGCGATCTCTGACGCCACATGACTTCCTCTCTATGATAGAGCTCGATCAGGCGATCTTTCACTTTCTCCTCCTGACATGTAGGTGCAGTCCTAGATGGATCCGCACGCATGCTCTCTAGCTGAAGCTTGAGAGTTCTGATCTCTTCCTTGACACTGCCAAACGTAGTTCGGTCCCAACGTTTCGGGTTTGTTGACAGTGTTTTTATTTTTGCACACAGTTCCGCAACCGTGGTTGCTCCTGGGCCTTGCCAGTGTTGTTCAATGGTCGCCTGAAAATCATCATGAGATTCCCACTGTTGGGGAACATTGCAGAAAACAAAAGTTTTCCTACGGTTTCACCAAGATCCATCTATGAGTTCATCCAGCAACGAGTGATCGGATTGCATCTACATACCTTTGTAGATCATGCACGGAAGCGTTCAAAGAACGGGGATGAGGAAGTCCTACTCGACGTGATCCAAATCACCGGAGATCCTAGCGCCGAACGGACGGCACCTCCGTGTTCAACACACGTACGGTCAGCGTGACGTCTCCTCCTTCTTGATGCAGCAAGGGGGAAGGAGAGGTTGATGAAGATCCAGCAGCACGACGGCGTGGTGGTGGATGCA